GAGCACAGAGATGTTATTTCTCTTAATCTCTTAGTACAATGTCAATGTTTATCCATCTAAATAATCTAACGTGCAATCCAAAGGAGTCCAAACCCCAAGATGATACCAGTGGTATTCAACTTGAGAACCTTAGTTGGATTATTCAATAATTGCAAGAAGGGATCTTCACTGACCTGAGACCCTTTCTTATGAGCATAAAATATTTTCACTGAAAACAGATCTTACTTCTCCTCCTGGATCCATTCTCCAATATATCCAGTTTTGAAATTTTCAATCAAAAATTATCTAATGCAGGCCGGGCGCGGTGGCTCAAGCCTGTAATCCCAGCACTTTGGGAGGCCGAGACGGGCGGATCACGAGGTCAGGAGATCGAGACCATCCTGGCTAACACGGTGAAACCCCGTCTCTACTAAAAAAAGTACAAAAAACCTCGCCGGGCGAGGTGGCGGGTGCCTGTAGTCCCAGCTACTCGGGAGGCTGAGGCAGGAGAATGGCGTGAACCCGGGAGGCGGAGCTTGCAGTGAGCCGAGATTGCGCCACCGCACTCCAGCCTGGGCGACAGAGCGAGACTCCGTCTCAAAAAATAAAAATAAAAATAAATAAATAAAATTAAAAAAAATTATCTAATGCAGCAAGCTTTATTGAGTGCTAGCTATATTCATTGTAGCTACTTAACCAGTTAGGCTGGAATACCTTCCCACTTTCCCTCGGGAAAACTACTTTTAGATTCTTAACAAGGTCTCTCTTTCTTTGTCAAGCTTTCACCAGCCCCACACACAAGACCTGTGTCTGCCTGGGATCCACTTTGGGAATGAACCTGGAGGTTTCTTATATGCCCCATCACACAGCCACAGTTGGGTGTGGCCATGTCTTTCCCAGTGGTCCATGAAGCCCTGAGGTGTCTGCCCTGTACCCAGTAGATGGTGAATCAATACTCAATATTTGAGATGTTTGAGAAAGACTGGAGGGGGCAGGATTAAAAGCCAGAGGATAGAAAATTAAAGTTACCTGTGCATCTCCTGCCAAGCTTAGTGGGTAGGCTGAGAAGGACAGCGCATAACCTCAGAGGAGGGGGAAGGAACTCCAGTGAATGTGTGTCCAAGATGAAAGAAAAGTAGGAATTTTGATACCATCACTTGAGAGTAATTGCATGGTCTTAAAATTTCCTTCCCCCTTTGCTTCTGGAAAATGCATGGCACATACTGGGCTCTCAGTGAATATTTATTGAATGAATACATCAATGCTTCTGTTTGTCAACCTTTTCTTTTGTTCTTTTTGTTCCTTCATGTTCTTCCTAACTACTCAAGCTTTCCCCCTCACCACCCCAATACAGTCATTCTTCCTCTCCTTCTCTCTCTCTTTCTCTTTCTCTCTCTCTCTCTCTCTCTCATTTGCTAACTCCATCTATAGTAGTATAAGATATGTAGGGGTGTGTGTGTGTGTGTGTGTATTATTTTCCATTTACAGAAGAGAAAACAGAAGTCCCAAAGTCCAAAACTGAGCACCAAAGTTTACACAGCTGTCCACACAGCTAGTAATAAAGATGCAGCAAATAAAGTCCTATTCCCCCAGAACCCTCCCACTTTTATGTGCATCAATCCAGGGTGCACTTTGACTCCCAACAACCAGCACCTGTGACTCTTTCCCCAAAGGGCCAGAACCCACTTTGCCAGCCAGTGTCCACATGGTGCCAGAAGTGCACGGAATTAAATCTCCCCTCCTCCCCACATCCAAGGGGGAAGAGGGGTGACTGCCCTTAACTAATGATTGACAGCTGTGAAGGCATAAAGACGACAGCTCTCCAGTCCCCAGTTGGCACAGCTCTGATGTGTGATCCACACTACCCCACGTCCGCCCAGGGTGATTAAGCCCAAGAGATCTTCAGAGGACTTCTCAATGTCACACCCTTGCCTGGCTTCTTCCTTTTCCCTGCCCATCTTCTCTGGAAACCCTCCTAATAAATCTTTCGCACAAATCGTCACAGAAAGCACTGCTTCTGGGGACCTAGCCTAAGGCAAGGTAGATGCAAGATTCAAAGCCAAGCCTGTCTGTCTTCAGAGTTTTCTCCCACTATGTTGTGGTTGAGATGTTGTTAAATCATGCCAGTCTATTCTTTGCTCATTTTACAGTTATACATTGAAAATGCATCATACAACCCTGTCTCTACTGAAAATACAAAAATTAGCCGGTGTGATAGCACACGCCTGTAATCCCAGCTACTTGGGAGGCTGAGGCAGAAGAATCACTTGAACCCGGGAGGCAGAGGTTGCAGTGAGCTGAGACCATGCCACTGCACTCCAGCCTAGGCAACAGAGTGAGACCCCGTCTCAAAAAATAAAATAATAAAATAAAATAAAATAAAATGCATCACACATACATTTTAAAAATTTGAATGGCCGCTGTGGCTTCAGGCAGCTTGAAGACAAATATGTATTCAAACACCCTATGCTTGCTTACTTTTTCTTACTATATTTATATTGTCTCTAAGGCAACAAACTTTTGAACATATTAGCAAAATGAAATCAAGGGCTTAAAGGGGAGAAAAAAAGGTTACTTTTTTGACTTGTCTTTGTAATTGCCTCTCGCCTGGATCCATAATTAAATACAAACTAAAAGGAGCTTTAGCTGTTTAGCGCTCTCTTTTAAGTATTTTTATTATATGAGTAATGTAATCACATTAGAGAAATTTGAAATCCAGGGGAGAAAAAAAAACACGCAAATACTCTAATCCAACCATTAACCAACTATTTCCTTTATAAACTATTTCCTTTCATTTACACACTCTTTCCAGTACACTAATCCAACCATATACAAACTATTTTCTTCCAGCTGTTATCACAGCTTTTCTCCCAGCCCAGGGATCTATGCATTTGACGTGGTCGCAGACTTGTTCCAAAGCTGGGGTTTCCTGTGAGTTTTCCTTTGGCCCAGGCAGTTTTCCATTTAACACAGTTCTTGGGGCTGTCATATTAGAAGGTCGCACATTGTCATACCCAGAGGATGTACCATATATTATCACCCTTTTGGTTGCTTTTGATATTGAATATTAATCTTATTAAACAATAAGATTGTGTTGAATGTGCCATTTTGGTTTTGCTTCTACTCTTTTGTTTTCATATTTCAGATTATGTCTTTAAAATAAATGTCCAAGACTTGAATTATCAGATAAAGGAACAATATGTATGACTTTCGATGTACACTGCCACATTTTTTGCCAGTCCTGCCCCACCAAAACGCATACTAATCTATGTTATCATAAGCCAATGTGAAACAAAGGTCATTCCAAACTCAGCATGGCTTCTCATTCTTTAAAGAGTTCTGGTCTAACAAAATGAATTCATTTAAAATTTCTCGATTTCATACAAAGGTTTTGAAACCTTGTCTAGAATTATATGAGCATATAGCATTCCTCATTAAAATGACAGAGAATTTGAAAATAACAAAGAACGTGAAAGTCACATTTCAGTCATCCTTAAATATACGTAGTACTCATCTTAATCCTAAACTTTCATAATTGCTATAAGCATTTCATGTAGGGATTAGTCCTTAAGCTTGAGTTGCCTAATTAATTCAATCATCCTTACTCAACACTAAACACGGCACCTTCAGTGGCTGATGTGGGCTCACTGAGTTGGGTGCCTATTTTGTGAGCGTTAATTCATGCCTGCATCTTGAAATGCAGAAGATAAAGAATGTCGACAAAATAAACAAGCAAGAAGGAATTCCCATTTTTCTCAGCTACCCTGTGGTTTGCCTGAGTTCATCCTAAGCTTTCCTAATAGAACAGGACACAGAATAGGAAAATTGAGACTCTCTTACAAATTTCACCGATAAGCCATTTGAGAATTCTAGTGAAAATGTGGAAAACCCAGCCAGACTCCCAGATACATGATTCCAGGTGAGGTCAGACGTTCTTGCAGATAAACATCCCATTGACTGAATTTTCTCCCCTTAAACTTTCAAAAATTAATTTAAATAAGCTTGTTTTCTGTGACACATCAAACCCCCAACAAGCACCACTTGAATTTTGTTTCAAGAAAGCGTTTTTCTTTAACACAATAACAAAATCTGTTTCTCTGTAAATTGCCAAGCCCCAGATTTTCTCTCAACCACATCCCCATCCCATTCTTGCCTTCACCCTGAGGCCCATAGTCAGAGGGGTGATGATCTCCCACAAACGATTCCACAGCTGATTTTTTTTTAATTTGGCAGGGCTTTCTGGGTTAGGATAATGTTGGGTAATCCTAATTACAGCCATATCCAAGCTTAAACTCCATAACCAAACAAACCAGTTTTACAACTCAAAGAAATTTAATTTGGCCTCACACTTGCGGTGGGGAAACTCACACACACACACTCACACACACACAAAGAAGGGAAAAACTGGCAGCTCAGCTAACAGGCAACCGAATGTTGGACACACTGCCAGCTTGGTCCAATTAAGAAACATTAGAGGTCTAATGAGGAACAGTTCAGACAGGACGCAAGGTTCTTGACAGCAGCCAAGCAAACTGCAAAGTCTCCAGCCCAGGTGAGTGAATCCTTTCAACCTTTCAAAACAGCAAGGGGCCAGTAGAACTTGGCTTGTAAGCTTTCTTGCATACCTAGGGAAGAAGGGTCCAGGTGGAGAACCTGGCCGAACAATGATCTCAGAACAAAAGTCCATTTAAGCCTAAAAAACAATCTATGGGACATTCCTGGGTACAACAGAACACATGAAATATTGCCATTTTGCCTATTAATATTTATTCCTGGGAAATTAACAAACTCATTGTCTGGGTGCACTTCATCCTCTCCTTCCCTCCTGCTACCAGCCCCTTCAAATGCACCTCCTGGAAAAAACTGAACCAAAGCAATGTCATGAAAAATACCTGGGCGAGGGCTTTCATTTACTCCATGCCAAGTATTTTATTTTTAAGCCAGATTTGACAAAGTCCTGCTAAGGCAAAGCAAGTTTCAGATCGTGCCCTCCGTGAAAATTGCAGCGCCGTTCTGCTTACCTGTCACCAGGACTGCCTTCTGATCCACAGGTAACAACTCTTGGCCAGATAAGTAAGTATACATGAGGAAACATGACAGAGAGAAGAGGATCAAGCCCCAAAACGGGGACAGGATGAGTAGGCAGACTGCACAGAGGCCTGCCAGGCAGACCATCCAGTTCCACAGCTGCCCCGAGCTCTTCTTGTATTTGCAAAATACTGTCCCGCACAGTACTGTGGGGACAGCCAGACAGATCCATGTCGTGTCTGAGAAGAAAGTGCTCATCCTCAGTGACTCGCTGCACCTTCAAGTGCTCAGGGCCAGTGAGTCTAGTGGGCAAAGGCTGACTGGAGGCAGCCTAAGTTATGTGAACAGAGAGTCAAGAAGGGAGGGGAGAAAGCAGCCCCAGCCCCTTTCGACTGAGCAGAGATTAAGCATAATCATATTCCCAGTGGGTAATTTAAACCAGTGTGCACTTCAACATAAATACCAAGGCACTTCCTATTTGACCACTCTCCCCCTCCCTGCCCCCTGCATACACAACACATGCACATACTCACCCACAAACACACACCTTCTATTTTTTTAATGACAGTCCACCTCTGGAGAGATGACTAATTAGATAATAATTGACAGAATTCGAACTGCACGGAGAATAACAGGAAAATCCTCTAGCTCCCGGGAAAATACTGTCTTCTTCAAGAGCCTGCAGTGTGTCTGGGTGCTGAGTCCTTTTTCTGACTCAGGAGTGAGTGAGAGAGAGAGAGAGAGTGTGTGTGTGTGTGTGTGTGTGTGTGTGTGTGTGCATGCATATAAATTCAGGCAATCAATGAAGTTTGGAAAATAGATTCTGGAAGGGAAGGCACCTCTGATCTGGTCCATAGCTTCAGGACTCCTACAAATCCCAACTGAGGCAGGCTGAAGGGTTGGATGGAGAGGGATATGAAAGTAGAGGAAGATATTCCTTGGCAGAGGAAAGTGCTTTGGTCTTTGCTGAGGGGAAACATGCCAGGGAAAGATAATAATGACAATTAACTAACAGCGGCTAACATCTATTGGTACTTTTTTGTGACAGAGGTTGTGTGTAGCTGCTTATTTGTTCATTCGCTTTATTGCAAGCCTATTCTATGCCAGCCTCCATTCACTGGCACTCGGCTCATTCTCCTTGAATACAATATCCTTATGAAGCTGGTTCTAGTATTATAGTAATTTTACAGGTGAGGAAACCAGGGCACAGAGAGGATAAGAGACTTAGTCAAGATCTCACAGCAGTGCAGTCTTGCAGCCTGATCTCAGAGCTTTTTGCTCCTAAGCATTCTATTCCACTGCCTGCTTTAGGTAAAAAATAATAATAATAAAAAATAAAAATTAATACATTATATGCTAGATCTTTCCTATTTTCACCCCATTTCAACCTTGTAAAACGCTTTGAGGTGGATATTATTATTATGGTCAATTTACAGAAAGAAAAACTGAGGCTGGGAAAAAATAAATCCCTTACTCACAATTGGCTTGAAAGCCAGCACTCTGCCGCTACAGCACCACCTAACAGTGCTGAGCCAGAGAGGGGCCACTGCACCTGGGCTCACGGTGTGCCCCACGTGGGCCACATGCCCGGCTGTAGGGAGGCGAGGTTCTGATCAAGGCTGGGCTTTGGCAAAGCTAGAGAGAACCTTTCTCTACTTGAGGTCGGTTTCCCTGTATTCATATCTAATCTGAGCTCCACCACTGATTAATTACATAGTCTTGGGTGGGTCACTTTACCTCTCTAGACCTTCATCCCTTCAGCTATAAAATCATATCATATCCTGCCTGGAACAGTAGAAGGAACCTCATAAATGCTAGTGATTCGTGTTTTTTAAACAGGAGGAGAATGAAGAATAAGAGGAAGTCGTGTAAAACAGAGCGTCCAATGGAACATAGACTTGTCCCAAAACAAGTGCTGGAGTTAAATGAGGGGCAGGAGGAGGAGGGGAGAGGATGCCTTTTGTGGATGATGCTGGGGAGGCAGGACTTGGGAAGGAAGGGACCCAGCAGTATACCCCCTGTAAAGGGAGGCAAGTAGAGCCCACCTGGGCTCAGAGCCAACTCAAGACCCAAGGGAGAAGGGGTGGGAAGCAGTGTCTTGTGAACCATTACTGTGCTGTGGGACTGTGGGGTTGGACAACAAGGCAATTATGAGGGTCTACGTGCAGTGATGGCAACTCTTGTCTGTCCTCCCAGCCACATGGACATTTGAGTCAAGGAGATGTTACCAGCTGCAGGCTGGGAAGCTTAGGGGCAGGGATCTGGAGTTGTCTTTGGCTAGCCCTGAACTCTCCCTCACTCCACAGACCCCAATTCCTTCCTGGGTGTCCTCTGAGCCACGGGGCACCTCTCACAATCCTTGTGGCCTCACCAGCCCAGAGCATCCTGGCAGTTAGCTCCGGTCGAAAAACAGTTTCCAGGTGAGGAGACAGGACTAGTTATGGCTCTTTGCTGAGAGTCTTGGCATTTGGTCAGTGCCTCCCACATTTGGGCTGGGTTTCCTGCCAAGTGCATGTCCACGTGAGAGGAGGTGACTTTTCTCCTGGAGGCAGCCCCTGTGACCTCCCAGACCTGCTCTGTCCTGGGGCTTCCAAGGACAGGGCAAAATCTGTGAGCAAAAGCCACCCTCAGGCCACACAGAAGTCCCAGGAAGGATACTCCATGAGCCCTGATGGTGAAGGGGATGAACAATATTAAGAACATGAGCTTTCAGGTCTCACAGACTTTTAAATTGAGTTCGAATCCTGGCTTAGCTGTGAGTCACTGGGCAAGTTACCTGCCCTTCCTAAGCCTCAGTTTCCTCTTCTGTAAAATGAGGGTAGGAGGAGTCCTGCTTCCAAGGGCTGTTTTGAAAAGTGAATGACATCATTCTTGCATTGTCCCTGGCACTGACATGTACTCATGGATGGTAGGCACTTTTCTCATTTTTGGGGGTACAAACTGCCCTTAGTCTTTTTCCTCTGGGCAGAGAGAGAGAGGTTCTTGCCAGCTACCTCCTCATTCATTTATTTCTTCTTTCAGTTCAGCACCCAGGTGTTTCCCTTGTCATCCTTCAGATATCTGTTTAAACGTCACCTCCTGTCACCCAATCTGAGTATCTCCTATCAGCATGCCTTATTCATTGCCTTTGTTGCACTTAGCTCAAGACACAATTATATATTTACTTTGATTATTTTAACACCATTTTCTGTCTCCCATACTAGACCATAAACTTCATGAGGGCAGGAACCTTATCTGTTTATTGTTGTACCTTTACTGTTTACCAAATGCCCAGTCCAGTGTCTGACACATCATGTATACATAATTAATGTTTGTTGGATGAATATAGGAAGGAGCACATTTCTATTGAGAGCCTTCTACGTGGCCAGTTCTGCACCAACCATGAAGGAATTCAGCAGTGAATAATATAGACCCGGTTCCTGGCCTTGCAGAGTTGAGGACCCAGTGCTTCCAGGAGGCCTGCTGCAGGAGCAGGGACTAATGGAGGGGGGGTGTGCATGGTGGTGGAAAGGAAGGCTATTTACCAGTTGGGGAATATATGGAATTGTAGAATCCCCAGGTGAGAACTAGCCCAACCCTTTCTGAGCCCTGAACGTCCTCATCCTGATGTCAGGGTCGGTCCATCTGAGAGCTACCACTGAATGAAGATTTCCCCCAATCTATTGAGCTAAATCGTGTTTCTTGTTTGTCCCCACCATTTTGTCCTGAAGCTATTCTTGAGGCCATCATGGCTTGGCCAGTGTCCCTTTTCTGGCAAGCTTGCTCTCAGCCTTCCAGGGAGAAGGAGCCAATTGGACCAACTCATTCTTGCTAATGATGCCGGTGGGTCAATGTGCCATTTCCTCCTGCCAGCAGAGGGGCCTTTTGGAAAATGCCTTCTGAAAACAAAACATCTTACCCAAAAGAAAGGATTGCCTTCCCACCAAAAAAAAAAAAAATGCTGGGCAAAGCAATGCTGGGAAAAAAATGCTGAGAATCCTCCAATGTATACTTTCTTAGAATTGGTGGATCGTGAGTTTAGAAGAGAACTTGAGGAAGGAACTGCCCATCTGAATGGGGATTCTCTCTGTAACATCCCCACCAAGTGGTCATCTTGTCTATTGCCAGAACATCTCTGAGAACAGGCACTTCACTGCCTCTGAAAGCTGATTTTCCCATTCAAGACGACGGCTCGGGATAGTAGAACCTTCTCCTCTAGGCCAAATTCATCTTAACATTTGTCTTCCCTCTCCACGTGGAGTCGGAGGATATCTTGTTCTATTTCTTTCAAATATTTGAAAGATATTTCAGAGCTCAAACATTTTTAAAATCACAATGTTACAATAACTGAAGAACATGTTGCTATGACGAGGGTAACATAATGATGGCATGATTTGCCAAGCAGAGAATGACTGTGTGTTGACGTCATAGTGACCCAAAGTTCAGGATATGGACAGGGTGGTACAAGCCATAACAGATCGTCTCAGGGACATCACAGAGATCTTGTTGGTAGTACGGGGTTTTTGTTTGGTTGTTTGTTTCTTGCTTTTTGAGCATTAGGGTAATAACTAATGTTTTAAGTGTTTGTGATTGTACAAATATCATGTATTACATATTTGTCTATTTCATACAGTGGGCAGGGGTGAGGAGACTAGGAGAAGATGGCCAGTAGTTGGGGCTGGACCATGCCTTTTTTCTGTCTTTGAAATAATATGTGGTAAAGATGTCTAAACTCCTCAATTATAAATTCCAAGTAAGTCAGATCCCATTTTTTATAGGGTTTCAGGGATCTGCAGCCACTTCTCAGAATAGCATCCAATTTCTTACATCTCCCCTGAAAGATTAGGCCCGGGACTGGGCACAACAATTTCAGTACAGTGCAAAGAACATAGACTAGAATAAGATTATCACCTCACCTATCCTTGAAGCTATATTTTTGCTTATGTGTCCAAAGACGTATTTGCTCTTTTAACAAAAGTGCCCTATTCTTGACTATCACGGTGTTTGTTATCAAGCAAAATTCCAGTTTTTATAGTTTCTGTGTCACTTTTAACTTTTTTAGTAAAATATCGTACTCATGTGGAGAAATTATCCAAAATATAAATAAACATCCATTCATCCATAGTGATATAAGTTATCAGTTAAGTGAATGAGAAGAGACAAATCTCACATGCTGAAGAATTATAAATAATGGACATAAATACTCCTTGCCTCAAGGACTTGGAGTGTAACTCTCCATTAACTGTGAGCTACACAGGGTAACTTTCTTCCAGAGTGCAGTATGAAAACAGAGAAACAGAGCAACTTTACCATGAAGAAACCTGACAAACACTACCTCAGCCAGGTAGTGAAGGTCAGCACCAACAATGGCAAATCATGTTGATAGTATGATGTGATTAAAAAAAAAAAAAAATGGCAACGTTATCATTGTAGAACATTCTACAAAATACCCAACAAGTATTGGGTCAAGGTCATCAAAAAACAAGGACATTCTGAGAAACAGTCTCAGCCAAAAGGAGCCCAAGGAGATGTGACGACTAAATGTAATGTGGAAACCTGAGACAGAAAAGAGACATCAGGTAAAAACCAACGAAATCTGAATATAGTATAGACTTTAGTTAATAATAATATATCAGCATTGGTTCATGAATTGTGACAAATGTGAGGTCAGATGGAAATTAGCATCAGAACTTGGTATGTAACCAGGGCTTTTGCAGAGTGGGGTGGGGGT